CATGTGTGTAAGCACTGTGGAAAAGCCTTTAGTTCTACCAGCTACATTAAAATCCATGAACGAATTCACAGTGGAGAGAAACCTTATATATGTAAGCAATGTGGAAAATCCTTTACTTTTATTGGTTCTCTTCGTACGCACAAACAAATTCACAGTGAAAAGAAACCTTATGTTTGTAAGCAATGTGGAAAAGGCTTTAGAACTTTCTTTTTCTTTAAAATCCATGAACGAATTCATAGTGGAGAGAAACCTTATGTGTGTAAGCAATGTGGAAAAAGCTTTGGTTCTTCTAGTGACATGAAAAGACATGAACAAATTCACAGTGGCAAGAAACCCCATGTGTGTAAGCACTGTGGAAAAGCCTTTAGTTCTTCAAGTTACATTAAAATCCATGAACGAATTCACAGTGGAGAAAAACCTTATATATGTAAACAATGTGGAAAATCCTTTACTTTTCTCAGTTCTCTTCAAATTCACGAACAAATTCACAGTGGAAAGAAATCCTATGTATGTAAGCAATGTGGGAAAGGCTTTAGTACTTCCTTTTTCTTTAAAATCCATGAACGAATTCACAGTGGAGAGAAACCCTATGCATGTAAGCAGTGTGGAAAAGCCTTTATTTCTTCCAGGTACCTCAAAAGACATGAACAAATTCATAGTGCAGTGAAGCCCTATACATGTAAACAATGTGGGAAAGCTTTCAGTCGTTCAGATTCACTCAGAATACATGAAAAAAAACATACTGGAGAAAAGCTGTATGTATGTAAACAATGTGGAAAAGGCTTTAGTACTTCCAGCCGCCTGAAAACACATGAACAAATTCACAATGAAGAGAAACCCTATACATGTAATGAATGTGGGAAAGCTTTCAGTCATTCTTATTTAGTCAAAAGACATGAAATAATGCACACTGGAGAGAAACCCTAGGTGTGTAAGCAATATGGAAAAGGCTTTAGTTCTTCTAGCCACATGAAAACACATGAACAAATTCATAGTGGACAGAAACCTTATAAACGTAAACAATGTGGGAAAGCCTTTCCTTTTCTCAGTTCCCTTAATATTCATGAACAAATTCACAGTGGAGAGAAACCGTATGTATGTAAGCAATGTGGAAGAGGCTTTAATACTTCTAGCCACATGAAAACACATGAACGAATTCATAGTGGAGAGAAACCTTATAAATGTAAACAGTGTGGGAAATCCTTTCCTTTTCTCAGTTCCCTTCAAATTCATGAGCAAATTCACAGTGGAAAGAAACCCTATATATGTAGGCAATGTGGAAAAGGCTTTAATTCTTCCAGCCACATGAAAAAACATGAACGAATTCACAGTGGTGAGAAACCTTATGTGTGTAAGCAATGTGGAAAAGGCTTTAGTTCTTCTAGTTACATAAAGACCCATGAACGAATTCACAGTGGAGAGAAACCCTATATATGTAAACAATGTGGGAAATCCTTTACTTTTGTCAGTGCCCTTCGAATGCATGAACAAATTCATAGTGGAAAGAAACCCTACATATGTAAGCAATGTGGAAAAGGCTTTAGTTCTTCCTATTACATTAAAATCCATGAACAAATTCACAGTGGGGAGAAACCATATACATGTAAACAGTGTGGGAAAGTGTTTCATTTCCCCAAATCCCTTCAAATGCATGAAATAACACACAATGGGGAGAAACCCTATGTATGTAAGCAATGTGGAAAAGGCTTTAGTTCTTCCAGCTCCTGTAGAAAGCATGAACGAATTCACAGTGAAGAGAAACCCTATACATGTAAACAATGTGGGAAAACACTTCATCTTCCCAGATCCCTTCAAATACATGAAATAATGCACAATGGAGAGAAACCTTATGTATGTAAGCAATGTGGAATAGGGCTTTAGTTCTTCCAGCTCCTGTAGAAAACATGAACAAATTCACAGTGGAGAGAAGCCCTACACATGTGAACAATGTGGGAAAGCTTTTCTTCATTCCTGTTTACTCAGAATACATGAAATAAGGCACACTGGAGAAAAACCCTATGTATGCAAGCAATGTGGCAAAGCCTATGGGGAGCCCAGCTCCCTCAGCAAACATAAAAGAATTCACAGTGGCATGAAAACATGCTTGTGAGCAGTGGGAAAGCCTTCAGAAATTCCTGTACCCCCTAAAATACATGAAAGAATGCACACTGGAGAGAAACTGTAAAGAAAGCCATGAAGCCTTTACCCTATCCAGTTACCTTCTCAAACATCAAGGGACTCACACTTGAGAGAAACTCCATGAGTGTAAGCCATGTGAGAAAGCTTTTACTGTTTACAGTTCCCTTTGATAATATGAAAAACTTCACAGTGAGGAGGAACCTTAATGATGTCAACAATGTGGGAAAGCCTTTATTCTCTGATTCTTTCAAGTACGTGAAAGAACACACTGGGAAGTAACCCAGAATACAGAAAAAATGGGAAGTCTCTTTTTAAAAAAATTTTTTTTTAGTTGTAGATAGACCTTTATTTTATTTATTTATATGCAATGCGGAAAATAGAAACCACATACCAGGCAAATGCATTACCGCTGAGCCCCAACCCCAGCCCAGGAAGTCTTTATTATCATGTGAACTTGTTAGCAGACACGAGTATGCAGTTGCAATATCTTGTATTATTGCAAAGGATCTGGGGAACTCGTCAAATTGGTTCAGTGTACCTACATAAATGAACACAGTATGCAGTGGAATCTACAATAGAAGAGATTTGCAATGATCTCCATTTGGTTCACATGTAAGAAATCACAATAAATAAAAACCCTGTGATTGTGAAAAATTCTTAGAAGGGAGTTGGTCAGTTGTAACATAGTTTCAGAGGCCTATGAAAATTCCTCCTGTAGCAGAATCCTAAAATGTAATGAGTATGAAGAGCTTGATGCAAAATAATTTCTTTAGAAGTCTCCAGAAAATGTACTACCTGGAGGTTTCCCACAAGTTTTATATTGTGTTCACTAGTAATTTATTCTTCAAGTAGATCTCTGCACTGTGTGTGTGTGCGCGCGCGTGCGTGTGTTTTTTGGGTGGTGAGGGGTACCACGGATTGAACTCAGGGACACTTGACCACTGATCCACATTTCCAGCCCTGTTTTGTATTTTATTTAGAGACAGGGTCTTACTGAGTTGCTTTACCACCTCACTGTTGCTGAGCCTGGCTTTGAACTCAGGGTCCTCCTAACTGAGCCTCCAGAGCCGCTGGGATTACAGGTCTGTGCCACCATACCTGGATGCACTGCATGATTCTAATTTTGATTCTTGTAAACAAAAGATTCAAGTGAAATACTTCTATGAGTTTTGTTTAGGCTATACTATCTGAGTTTAATAGGTAGTGTATTTTTGATCAAATCAGGTAGTGAGCCTTCTAACATATTGACCCCAGCCCCATCAATGTGTATTTCTAAGGTGCAATTAGGCTTCATTTGTTTGTAGTTTTTAAATACTTATGGTTAATGGGCCAGGGAAGAATGAGGTTTTGTTCATTGTTGTAAATTTTTGACTGGCCTCACTTAATGGATTATGCATACCCTTTTATTTATATATATACTCAGAGGTATGCATATGTATGTGTATGTTCTTTTCAGGGGAAAAATGACAATTGTACATGGATTTTATATTTTTCAAAGTTGAATGGTATATCTTTCCCATATTACTGGTGCATTATAATTACACATAATGGTGAAATTCACTCACATATTTGTCCATGTCCATGATATAGCAATGAATGTATATTTTCTTCAAACCAGATTTCTGTGCATTACTTTTTTACTTTTTTTTTTTTTTTACTTTTTTACAGTTTCTTAAATATTTTCTAACAAATTTCTAACAAATTACAGATTAACATATATTAGCTTTTTCATTCAAAAATTTTTATTGAAAACTTTGTGATAGAGTACTTTGTAATACCAATTTACTAGTGAGAAGAATGAAATTCTTCAGTGGGACAGCAATTTTGTTAGACTTCCATATTGAATTAATTACAGCTATCATCTTCACAATATTTTTTTTTGAGAGAGTGAGAGAGAGAATTTTAATATTTATTTTTTATTTTTTGGCAGAAACAACATCTTTCTTTGTATGTGGTACTGAGGATCGAACCTGGGCCGCACTCATGCCAGGCGAGCTAGCTACTGCTTGAGCTACATCCCTAGCCCGAAAACATTTTTTATAGTTCAAGGCCAAGCAGAATCAGATTGCTGTGTCAGCCCTCCAGACTAGTTCATGACTCAGAGACTTTTTCCTTTTTTAAAAAATTTTTTAAATTTTTTGCAGTTCCTGGCTTGCACTCGGGGCCCCACTCTTTCTGAGTACTACTCAGCTATATCCTTGATTTTATTTTGATAAAGGATCTAAGTTGCCCTGCCTAATGTCATATTTGCCATCCTCCTGCCTTAGCCTTCCAGGAAACTGGGAATTTAGACTTGTGCCACTCAGCCCAGCTTATTAAGAGACATTTTACTAGGGGCAGGGAAGAGTTTGAAAACAAAAGAAAACAAATACATTTATACTCTGCTTTATATCACATCCCAATGTGCCTGATCTTGTTAGGCCAAAGGCAATCTATTTGCTTCAAGATGAATTAGAAATATTTTACAAAAGTCTGGGAGAGAAGGGATCTGTAACTTGACTTCCAAAATAAATTTTTTAAAATTTCCCAGTTATAAGATAGTTTTTAAGTCTATCAGGTTAAGACCCTAGCTATTTTGGGGGTAGGGGGAGTACTGGGGATTTAACCCAGGAGTACTTAATCATGTAGCCATATCCCCAGCCCCCCCCCCTTTGAGACAGGGTTTCTAAATTACATAAGGCCTCACAAAGTTGTTGAAGTTGACTTTGAACTCAAGATCTTCCTGCCTCAAAATCCTGACCTGCTGGGATTACAGACATGCACCCCAGCACCCAGCTTTGGAAGATCATTTTAAAAAGGTCATTTACTTTGAGGCAGTGAGAGCCTCAGGGACATTACACTTGGGGTCAGCTTGACTTTTTTGATAGAGATATATTTATTATGCTTTGGATTTTTATCAGAAAATATTTGGCTGGATCAGTCGCTGGTGGGGTGGCTGAGTGAAGAGAGTTTCCCATGAAAGCAGAGGGAAAGGGAAGAATTCACATCTGGTTAGTCGTTCCTTTTATCAGTTTGTTCATATGAAAATAATAGTTTGATGACATCTTTCTACTTTCAGAGGAATAATTGTCAGTTTTTAAAATCCATATAATGTATCTTGGATTTTGTTTCATATTAAAAAATGTACTGTATTCATTATCTGTGTCATTGAACTCATCAGTGTTGATGTGAAGCAAGTGAGTGACCTGCAGGCTCATTTCAGTGGTCAGCTGGCACTGGAGTTATGAATATGTTTGGCCTTCTGAATGGGGGGTCTTTGTGACCTTGGGTGAGGCTGGGGGCCTGTCTGAGCCATGTCAAGTATTTACATTTTTTCCTTTTTATTCTTTACAGAACATTGCTGCCATAAAATTTCAGTTTTTGTTGCTGATGTCGTACTAGGGATTCAACCCAGTGGCACTCTACCCTGGAACTACATCCCTAACCCTTTTTTGTTTATTTTGAGACAGATATTTGCAAAGTTGCCTAGGCTGTCCTTGGACTTGCTGTCCTCCAACTTGTTGTCCTCCTGTCTCAGCCTCCCAAATTGCTGGGACTACAGGTGTGCGGCATTGCATTGAGGTGACTCCAGTTTCTCCATGAAGTGAATAATAGTTATATAACAACAAAGGATGGGCAGATATAGATAGATGATCGGGTCAAATAGGGAAGATGAGGCTGGTTTGAAAGGAAAGAAACAAAATGCTACTACCTTCAGGACACTTCCTCGCCCCTTTCAACCTGTTGCCAAGTTTACCTGCCTCCAGTGAAATGTTCCTCCCCAAAATTAGTGTGTGTTTGTTGGTACAGGGGATTGAACTTAGGGGCACTCGACCATTGAGCCACATCTCCAGCCCTATTTTGTACTTTATTTACAGACAGGGTCTCACTGAGTTGCTTAGTGCCTTGCTTTTGCCGAGGCTGGCTTCTCCTTTTTCAGCCTCTGGAGCCCCTAGGATTATAGGCGTGGACCACCACCCTGTGCCCTCAAGTGAATTGTTATTGAAGTACCTCCTGGATGGCTCCTTTCCTGACCCTTTCAGTAGACAGAAAGAGGCACCCTTGGACGATTTCTTTCCCAACTTGGGGCCACATAAACAATACAAGGGAGGTTGGGAAGTGAGAAGAAAGGATAAAAGGAGTAGGACACCCTCCTCTCATGGATTCCAGCTCTGGATCCTTTTCTCCGCCCCCAGGAGCAGTCTGTCTCTATTCCTTTAAATAAAACCTCTTCTGTGCTTTAGTTGGCATTTCTCAGGGATTCATTCTTCCACACCAGGGGAATTGGGCCCTGATGGTTAGATCTGGACAAATGAAAACTTCACAGATCGCTCAGTGCTTTATTCAGGAATGAAGTTTCACACAGGAGCAGGGAATGCAGGGATGAAATGACACAAAGAAATGAACAAAGAAAGGGCCTGGGCTTATATAGATTATCCTGAAAGGTGGTCTTGTAGATGTTTCAGTTTTCTTGGGCACCAAGGAATTTGGGCAATCAGTGAAGGGGTCAGTTTGAGCAATTAAGAACTTGAGCTCTTGGGTGAGGGGTCTGTGCTGAGCACCTGGAAGGATTTACTCTGAGGAAGGTCAGTGCCCCTCAGTGGCTATCACTTTAGGTGTAATGAGACACTTCC